CCCCCGGCAGGGCCCTGGGCGGGGGGCCGCCGCCGCTCTCCGCGGGCGGCCTGGAGGCCGACAGGGGGCCGTCGCAGACGTTGATCAGGTTGTTGAGGATCTCGAGGTTCAGGGCCCCCCTCCGGTTACACGCCTCTGCCCTGCGCAGGGCCAGGGGCGGCCGCCGCGTCGGGGTGCTCATGGCGCGCAGCGCCCCCGGGGACATCAGCGGCTTCTTGATCAGGGGCGGCTTGACAGGCTCCTGCCGGGTGCTGGCGACCTGCTGGCTCTTGACGTACTTGGCCTTGTCGGCCTCCAGCCGCTCCACCGCGCTGGGCTTCTTGGAGCTGGGCTCCAGCTGCCGGCGGAAGTACTCGGGCCCCTTGTGGAGGATGCGGAAGGGCATGGCTGAGGTGAAAGGAATCCCCGATGACACTTGTCTGACCATCCCGCCTGCCTGCAGAGTTTCAACGGGCATGCTGGGGTGGGTTGGGGGGGGACCGGAAAAACACCAAGCGCCTTCTTTTTTGTCTTCTTGCTTCTTTCCAGATACTTTTCAAGTCTTTTATGCAGCTTCTTCCTCTCTGAAAGACGCCCACTGGACCGGGTCAGGGGTCACATTCCAGATCAGCCTGCCTCAATGGCTCAAGCACCAGAGGTTAACGGCGCCTCCTTCTCCAGGCACCGGGCTGCAGCGTGAAGGAGAACGATCCCCAGGCGGGAGGCTGACTTGCAGAACGCAGTGGCCCGCTCTTCACAGCCGCAGGCACCGATCTCCAGCTTGTAAGTCCCAAAGCCGAAAGCTCCTGAAAGATAACAATGGAATAAGGCAAGGAGTTAAGGATCAGCACTTGGTGTTCGCAGCAGCACATCAACAAAGCACTAAGCCTTAAGAGGGGGCAAGCTCTCTTTAATATCTGAAGCAGGCCCCTCCCCTCTCCTCCCAGCCCTTCCAGATGCTCGGGGACAGCAGCCAATCACGGAGGAGCAAGGGGCTCTGAAAAGACAGCTGGGGGTTGGGGCAGCCCATCCATTGGCGGAGGTGAGAATTCCCCGCCCCGCCCCCTTCTAACAACAAACACGCCCACCACATTTTCATTCAAATGAAATTCTTTGAAGGGATAAAGAGAAGAGGGAAAAAAAAAAGAAAGAGCTGCTGTTGTCCTCATTTGCCTGCAGAGTTTTGTCAAACCTAACAGAACAAAGATGGAACCTGGGCACTAAATCATTTTTAACCACTGGTAACAATGACACCAAATCAACTGTACTGAGTTATTGCCAAATTAGGCTGATATTTTCAACTGATGGCAAATGGAAACAAATGTTCCTTTTCTCAGTCCTGCACAGAGGGTCTGAAAGAGTTGCAGACCAACGATTCATATTAACTTTTACCCCAAACAGAACCTTGACTTTTGCGGATAAACTATCAAACCGATTCAGCTGTGACCTTGCAGTCTTTTTCCTCCAGCTACACCAAGAGAAAATGCTTGCTGCACTAATGAAGCACTGATTACACCAGGCAAGAAACTCTTCTTTATTTATGCATTTTAATTGATCTTTTATTCATCCCTTTTTAAATAAGAAATAGACTCCCTCTGTGCTAGATTTACAGTCCTATTTATAAAGTCCTTTTAGAAATACTGTACTGTAAGTGCTGGCAGATGTACGATTATATACCTCAGCTGCACACAACCAGCACATAAGACCTATTAAATAATTAAAGCAGTTTTCCCCACACACACACAAAGGCAAATTCAAACTTTCATAGGACGAAACACTAAGGATAGGCACTGCAACAGATTTAGCCAGGGCTCAACTTGGTTGTTTTGTTTCACTAAAACCTCGGGAAGCCTTTTGTTTTAAACACAGCACATGCACTGAGCTTTCGATGTTCAAAGAGAGCCAAAATCAGGCTATGGAGAGAATGCATCCTCTTCTTTCAGCTTCTCGGATCCCACCCTCAAACAAACTTGTCGTGAACGAGCCGGGAGTATAAACACAGCTTGTGCTGGATGCAGATTCAAAAGTCTCCTTTTATTCTCAGTCAAGAGACCGGGGACTCCTACTGTACTCTCACTGCACACTTGAACAGACCCAGTCCAGTTTGCTGCACGTTGTTTGGCGTTTCTATTAAAGAGCCACAAAAGGTCCCCTCTTGCTCCTTTTGTGAGGCAGGAGACAGCTGTTTGAAATAAACCGGGTTATTGTCACCTCTGCACCTCTTTTAAAAGAGCACAGCTGCTTCACAGCCTGTCCTGCCCCCTCAGTGGAGGCTTGAGCCCGGCTCCAGGATAACTCGCGAGCATTTTTTTAATCTCGCGTCGCCCCCCCCAAAAAAAGCCCGTTCTGGCGTATTGCAGGAACACACAGAAAACCTTACAGCCACAGACCTCTGAGTTTCTAAAATGCTGGCTCCAAGGGTCTCATTGCATACTCATATTGTTTTCTTCCAATCAATAGTAAACAGTTTTCCAATTAACCAAAACCTGTATTTCATTACCAATTAAACAGATATATGCCCAATCGTACAGGACAGAGAAAAACATTTCACCATTGTGCACGGACACCCTTTGGCACTCTATTGCTTCTTTTTTTACTAAAAAAAAGAGATAAGTCTACCTATGGCCACAGAGCAAACAGTTAGGCCTAAAGGTTTGAAGACCTCTAATTCCATTATAAGCACTGTACATTGTCTTTGAATCCCATTCTTGGCTAAACCTTCAGCAGCACAGAGAAACACAATGGCTGGAATCTGACACTCTGGAGACGTGCTGCGAATCACAAGGGCCCAGGTGTACCAGATCAGCTGTAAATCAAGAGCCATTTACCCTCTTGTCAAACACTGTTACACTGCACCACGTTTGCACAAGAAAGAACAAGATCAAGGTGAGATTTTCACAAGAAAATGCGAGAATGCAATGGCTCTGGTCTTTTTACAGGTCTGGTTAACGCAGGACTGCCATTGTCCTGTCCGGTGTTTCCGAATGTTCCCCGACGAATGGAGAGCACAGCGGGTGGCACACATGTTTGGACAGCCTTTTAAAAAGAAGGGTTGTGGGAATTCTATCACAACTGTTTTTCTTTTGTTGTAGTGTCCTGTAGTAGAGAGACACCTTTAAAAAAAATAAAGGTAAATGCAAACCTTTTGTTTTATAGTGAAGACTAACCACTGCAAACAAGACACTGTCCCTTTAAACAAAAGGCATAACAGCTCTTACCACATTAAGCACCTATATAAAATAAAACGTATAATTAAAGGTGATTGCGATGTCTGAAAGTGCTCATTACAGTCACTGAGTCAATTATCTCCTTGAAATTGAGTAAACTGCTTCCGCCGAGATCTATGAGAAAGCACCAGGGGCAATGTGGACATCTAAACCTGCGAGCATATCTGGCTTTCATCACAGGCCACCTTCATCTTTGAAAAGCGAGAGAAAAATAATTAAGACTCGCTAGAGACGCGACCGGGAAGTGTAAATGTATGAATCATAAAGGATTTCTTCAATCAAACTGTCGCACCACAGAGCACCAGCCAATTCTCAGCAGATCATGTTGCTTCGGTGTTAAGTGTCACGGCTCTGTCTCTCTGTCCTGCCGCTCCAACTAGGCAGCGATGCCCTTCGCTCCAGATCCAGACGTGCCAATCTATGCCTGTGGGGGAATTTGCAATGTGACTCTATAGGCAAAGCAGTGCAATCCCAGTCTCAAAGGCTGCTTGATACAGGGATGGGTTTAACGGTGCTGTGCAGACCGTATTCATGGATCCTATTGGAGACACACACACACTAAAGGTAATTCTCATTCACAGGCTGAACTGCAGTTCCAAAGATACCCAGAAGAGAGCAATGTACGCCCCACCACCAAGCCAGTCCAAAACCATGCCTGAGATCTGATCGCTGGAATGATCAGAGAGTTAATTCAGACAGAAACAGCCTGCTGCCTGATCTTGGCACTTCCCGATCATCCTGAAGCGAAGGGGTTCTGCATGTGGCACCAACCGCCTGCCCCAGGGACAGAAGTTCTCTATCACACATAGTTTAGTTACAAACGCCACCACAGCGCACAATCCAAAGACTGCTGTAGATGATAAAAAAATCACACAGGAGGCAGGAGGCACAATCTCAGTGCAACAGCTGGACTAGGCAAGCATGAGGAAAGGTCAAATATACAGATTTTCTGCATTTGTTTTCTTCTACACTCTGTATGTTTTGTGTGTGACTCCCGTCTTCAGAGGAAGTTTCTCACGGTTATTTCAGTGCCACACCACTGCATAGTAAACATTTCT